TGGTGTAGACATAGGTTTGCATTTTTCCATGTTTACTCTTTTCAACAAATCTAAAGCATATCGTCTCTGTGACAGTATGATACCATCTCGTGTTTTCTTGACTTCAATACCCAGAAAATACTCAAGATCACCCAAATCTTTTACTGCAAAATCTATTTTCAATTTCTGAATCAACCTTTCGGTTGCTTGATCAGAGGAGCTCACAATAATTATATCATCAACATAGATGAGCATATAGATAGTTATCTCTCTGTTTTTGAGAATAAAAAGAGATGAATCAGCTACTGAAGCCTTGAAGCCTAACTCAATAAGTTTTCCAGTCAACCTTGAATGCCAAGCTTTTGGGGCTTGTTTCAGGCCATAAAGGGCTTTCTTGAGCTTGCATATGTAATTCTTTGGTTTGGCTGAGTCTTGAAATCCTGGTGGTTGTCGCATGTACACTTCCTCTTTCAGAATTCCATGCAAAAATGCATTTTGGATATCAACTTGTCTCATATTCCAGCCCTTGGTTACTGCTAGCGAAAGAATGACCCTGATTGTTGACGGTTTGATCACAGGGCTAAAAGTATCAGTGTAATCAACACCAAATCTTTGCTTGAATCCTTTGGCAACTAATCTTGCTTTTAATCTTTCAACTGACCCATCTGCTTTTCTTTTCACTTTATACACCCATTTACTATCAATGAGATTTATTCCAGGTTTGGGTGGAACTAGATCCCAAGTGGCATTTCGTTTTAGCGCTGAGAGCTCATCATTCATTGCTTCTCTCCATCTTGGATGTTGCATGGCTTCCTGCAGGTTTCGAGGTTCAGTAGCAGTCTCTATGATCGGAGTTGTGATAGTTACAGCGCTTGCGAATTTTCTTGAGGTTTCTGAATATCTGATAGTTCCATCAGTGAATTGTTTAGCTTGTACAATGTTATTTCTCAACCTTGTTCGCATTGGATGTTGACTAGCTGCTTCAGTTGGTTGATCAGACACATGTTCATGAGTTTGGTTTTGAGCATTGATCGAACTGCTCTCAGCTTCATATTCTGCAATTTCCTCTGAACTTCTTGTATTATCTGCAGAAGATAAGCTGACACCAGACAAGTTGTCACTAGCAATATTATCAGTTTGACCATCATTCATATGGGAATTACTAACAACTGGTTCAATATCTGTAAGAGCATTTTCAGTGTAAAAACTAGCAAGTTTGGCTAAGGCTGGAAGTAGAACAGGATGATGTGGATTTGTGGTTTTGTTTGGTGGCTTAGATTCTTCAAAAGGAAAAATATTTTCATCGAAAACCACGTCTCTAGAGATGTAAATACGTCCTGTACTTCTATTTAAGCATTTATATCCCTTATGAGAAGAACTATAACCCAAGAATATACATCTAGTAGTTCTGAAACTCAGTTTCTTGTTGTTGTAAGGCCTTAAATTAGGCCAGCAAGCACAGCCAAACACCCTAAGCATGGAGTAGTCTGGACTTTTACCAAACAATTTATGAAGTGGTGTGTCTTGTTGTATGGTTCGGCTGGGCATTCTATTTATAAGAAAGCAAGCTGTGTTGAAAGCTTCATCCCAGTAGGATAGAGGCATGTTGGCTTGAGCGAGTAAAGCAAGGCCAGTTTCTACAATGTGTCTGTGTTTTCTTTCGACTAACCCATTCTGCTGGTGTGTGTGAGGACAGGAGATATGATGTTCAATGCCTGTGGATTTGAAATAATTGTGTAACCGATGGTATTCACCCCCCCAATCTGATTGGACGGAGCGAATTTTGGTATTTAGCATAGTTTCAACATGTTTTTGAAATTGAAGGAACACAGACTCAACATCAGATTTGCATCTCAGAAAGTAAATCCAAACATAACGACTAAAATCATCAACAAAGGAAACATAATATTTGGAATTATTTACTGACGCAATGGATGGACCCCATACATCAGTGTGAATTAATTGAAGGGGTGCTGTAGATACATGCTGAGAAGAACCAAATGGCAATTGATGTGCTTTCCCTAATTGACAAGCATTACAAATTGAGGAAGAGGGAATATTAGTATCTATAGCTAAATTATTATCTTGTAGAATTCTAATGGTAATTGGAGATGCAGGGTGCCCTAGCCTTCTGTGCCATTGTTCTTTCGAAAGTTTGGCTGTCAGCAAGGCTTGACTGAAATTATGCGGTAGAACGTATAGGCCATTCTTACATCTACCGTGGAGCAGGAGTTTTTTTCGTGACTCGGTCCTTAACCAAAAAATAGTTTGGGTGAAATTCTACAACAGCATTATTATCAGATGCTAGTCTTTGTACTGAAATTAGGTGCTTATTGATTTTAGGAGCATATAGGATATGTTTCAGAACAAGAGATGAACCAGAAATTAATGAATTCCCAATATGAGAGATAGACAAACCTGCGCCATTTGCAACCTGAATTTGGTCGGTGCCAGTGTAGCGTTCTCTGGTGGTAAGCCTCTCTAGGTCATTGGTGATATGATCTGTGGCTCCAGTGTCAACATACCAGTTTGTGTCACTAGTGTATCCACTTGTTGCCAAAGCTGCTTGTTTGAGATTATTTTCGGCTTGATATGCCTGATCAAATCTGTGCCAGCATTGCAAAGCATCGTGATTGGGCTTACCACAAATCTGACAGACAATGCCTGAGCTGCTTTGTGTCTTTGATGGTTGACGTCCAGGATTGTTCACAGTACGCCTTGATTGTCCATGACCACTATTTAACTGACGACTACGACCGCGACTACCTCGACCTCCATTGGCACCTCCACGAATGGATATCCTATTGACATTGTTAGCAGATGAAAGTTGCTCAAATGTACCCTTACGCAAGTGCCGCATCTCATAGCTCAGCATGTGAGCATACACGTCGCTGACAGTGTATACATCTGTTCTGGTTGTAATGCTTGTGACTAGAGGATCATAATCTGGACCAAGTCCTTGCAGCATGTAGGCGATGAGTTCTTCATCCTCTATTCGCTTGCCAATGGCAGCAAGTGTATCACCAAGATGTTTTACTTTACGAAAGTAGTCAGCAATTGTCATGTCCTTTTTCTGGATAGTAGAGAGTTCCATACGGATCTGCATTGCTCTTGCTCGAGATGTGGAAGCAAATTGTCGCTCCAGCGTAATCCAGGCTTCTCGTGCAGTGGTGATTCCAACCATCGTGCTGAGAACCTCCTCAGTGACTGATGAGTTGATGAGGCTGAGTACCAGCTGGTCCTGGGGGTACCAGACTGTGAACTCAGGGTTGATGATAATTTTGCGATTCCCTGTTTCTTCACTTGGTTCAACGGCGATCGTCTGGCTTGGTGCAGGCATGGATCCATCCACAAAACCAACAAGGTTTTGGCTACGCAAGTAGGGAAGGATTTGGGTAGACCACAGTAGATAATTTTCTTGTGTAAGCTTAACACTAATCACCTGACTGATCGACGGAGAAGACATTGTGTTGNTCACACTATTGAGGACATATTCTATTTATATTGGCAAAAGATTAACTAATAGATCCGATTTCATAGGAAACTAACGAAGTAAGCCTATTCTTATGGCATGACTAACTTCAAGCTATTCTAATGGATTGACCAATTCTAACAGTCCCCTTCAATCCCAACAAGTCTTGTACATGTTGAGATTGTTACAATGTGTAGTAAAAGGAGTTTTAGACAGTGGTTTTGTCAGGATATCAGCTACTTGATCACTTGATGAAATGAACCGAACTTCCATTGCTTTACGTGCTACTTGTTCTCGAACAAAATGAAAATCAACTTCAATATGTTTCGTTCTAGCATGAAATACTGGATTTGAAGTTAAATATGTAGCTCCGAGGTTGTCACACCAGAGGCGAGGAGCCTTTGATTGATACACGCCCAGTTCCTTCAGTAATGACTTGATCCAAATCATTTCTGCAGTAAGATTCGCAATGGCCTTGTATTCTGCTTCGGTGCTTGATCTTGACACTGTAGCCTGTTTTCTGGAACTCCATGAGATTAGATTTGCTCCAAGAAATACAGCAAAGCCGCTAGTTGAACGTCGATCATCGGGACAACCAGCCCAATCAGCATCAGAAAACCCCGACAACATCATGGTTGATTTCTGAATTTTCACTCCTAATGCTAGTGTGCCTTTAACATAACGAAGAATTCTCTTCACAGCACCCCAATGAGCATCAGTAGGTGTATGAAGATATTGACACACTTTATTGACAGCAAATGCCAAATCAGGCCTAGTCATTGTCAAATATTGTAGTGCTCCCACTGTACTTCTGTATTTGAATTGTTCTTCAGCTGATAAGGGTATTCCTTGTTCTCTGAATAATTTTTCAGCAGAACCCATTGGTGTAGACATAGGTTTGCATTTTTCCATGTTTACTCTTTTCAACAAATCTAAAGCATATCGTCTCTGTGACAGTATGATACCATCTCGTGTTTTCTTGACTTCAATACCCAGAAAATACTCAAGATCACCCAAATCTTTTACTGCAAAATCTATTTTCAATTTCTGAATCAACCTTTCGGTTGCTTGATCAGAGGAGCTCACAATAATTATATCATCAACATAGATGAGCATATAGATAGTTATCTCTCTGTTTTTGAGAATAAAAAGAGATGAATCAGCTACTGAAGCCTTGAAGCCTAACTCAATAAGTTTTCCAGTCAACCTTGAATGCCAAGCTTTTGGGGCTTGTTTCAGGCCATAAAGGGCTTTCTTGAGCTTGCATATGTAATTCTTTGGTTTGGCTGAGTCTTGAAATCCTGGTGGTTGTCGCATGTACACTTCCACTTTCAGAATTCCATGCAAAAATGCATTTTGGATATCAACTTGTCTCATATTCCAGCCCTTGGTTACTGCTAGCGAAAGAATGACCCTGATTGTTGACGGTTTGATCACAGGGCTAAAAGTATCAGTGTAATCAACACCAAATCTTTGCTTGAATCCTTTGGCAACTAATCTTGCTTTTAATCTTTCAACTGACCCATCTGCTTTTCTTTTCACTTTATACACCCATTTACTATCAATGAGATTTATTCCAGGTTTGGGTGGAACTAGATCCCAAGTGGCATTTCGTTTTAGCGCTGAGAGCTCATCATTCATTGCTCCTCTCCATCCTGGATGTTGCATGGCTTCCTGCAGGTTTCGAGGTTCAGTAGCAGTCTCTATGATCGGAGTTGTGATAGTTACAGCGCTTGCGAATTTTCTTGAGGTTTCTGAATATCTGATAGTTCCATCAGTGAATTGTTTAGCTTGTACAATGTTATTTCTCAACCTTGTTCGCATTGGATGTTGACTAGCTGCTTCAGTTGGTTGATCAGACACATGTTCATGAGTTTGGTTTTGAGCATTGATCGAACTGCTCTCAGCTTCATATTCTGCAATTTCCTCTGAACTTCTTGTATTATCTGCAGAAGATAAGCTGACACCAGACAAGTTGTCACTAGCAATATTATCAGTTTGACCATCATTCATATGGGAATTACTAACAACTGGTTCAATATCTGTAAGAGCATTTTCAGTGTAAAAACTAGCAAGTTTGGCTAAGGCTGGAAGTAGAACAGGATGATGTGGATTTGTGGTTTTGTTTGGTGGCTTAGATTCTTCAAAAGGAAAAATATTTTCATCGAAAACCACGTCTCTAGAGATGTAAATACGTCCTGTACTTCTATTTAAGCATTTATATCCCTTATGAGAAGAACTATAACCCAAGAATATACATCTAGTAGTTCTGAAACTCAGTTTCTTGTTGTTGTAAGGCCTTAAATTAGGCCAGCAAGCACAGCCAAACACCCTAAGCATGGAGTAGTCTGGACTTTTACCAAACAATTTATGAAGTGGTGTGTCTTGTTGTATGGTTCGGCTGGGCATTCTATTTATAAGAAAGCAAGCTGTGTTGAAAGCTTCATCCCAGTAGGATAGAGGCATGTTGGCTTGAGCGAGTAAAGCAAGGCCAGTTTCTACAATGTGTCTGTGTTTTCTTTCGACTAACCCATTCTGCTGGTGTGTGTGAGGACAGGAGATATGATGTTCAATGCCTGTGGATTTGAAATAATTGTGTAACCGATGGTATTCACCCCCCCAATCTGATTGGACGGAGCGAATTTTGGTATTTAGCATAGTTTCAACATGTTTTTGAAATTGAAGGAACACAGACTCAACATCAGATTTGCATCTCAGAAAGTAAATCCAAACATAACGACTAAAATCATCAACAAAGGAAACATAATATTTGGAATTATTTACTGACGCAATGGATGGACCCCATACATCAGTGTGAATTAATTGAAGGGGTGCTGTAGATACATGCTGAGAAGAACCAAATGGCAATTGATGTGCTTTCCCTAATTGACAAGCATTACAAATTGAGGAAGAGGGAATATTAGTATCTATAGCTAAATTATTATCTTGTAGAATTCTAATGGTAATTGGAGATGCAGGGTGCCCTAGCCTTCTGTGCCATTGTTCTTTCGAAAGTTTGGCTGTCAGCAAGGCTTGACTGAAATTATGCGGTAGAACGTATAGGCCATTCTTACATCTACCGTGGAGCAGGAGTTTCTTCGTGACTCGGTCCTTAACCAAAAAATAGTTTGGGTGAAATTCTACAACAGCATTATTATCAGATGCTAGTCTTTGTACTGAAATTAGGTGCTTATTGATTTTAGGAGCATATAGGATATGTTTCAGAACAAGAGATGAACCAGAAATTAATGAATTCCCAATATGAGAGATAGACAAACCTGCGCCATTTGCAACCTGAATTTGGTCGGTGCCAGTGTAGCGTTCTCTGGTGGTAAGCCTCTCTAGGTCATTGGTGATATGATCTGTGGCTCCAGTGTCAACATACCAGTTTGTGTCACTAGTGTATCCACTTGTTGCCAAAGCTGCTTGTTTGAGATTATTTTCGGCTTGATATGCCTGATCAAATCTGTGCCAGCATTGCAAAGCATCGTGATTGGGCTTACCACAAATCTGACAGACAATGCCTGAGCTGCTTTGTGTCTTTGATGGTTGACGTCCAGGATTGTTCACAGTACGCCTTGATTGTCCATGACCACTATTTAACTGACGACTACGACCGCGACTACCTCGACCTCCATTGGCACCTCCACGAATGGATATCCTATTGACATTGTTAGCAGATGAAAGTTGCTCAAATGTACCCTTACGCAAGTGCCGCATCTCATAGCTCAGCATGTGAGCATACACGTCGCTGACAGTGTATACATCTGTTCTGGTTGTAATGCTTGTGACTAGAGGATCATAATCTGGACCAAGTCCTTGCAGCATGTAGGCGATGAGTTCTTCATCCTCTATTCGCTTGCCAATGGCAGCAAGTGTATCACCAAGATGTTTTACTTTACGAAAGTAGTCAGCAATTGTCATGTCCTTTTTCTGGATAGTAGAGAGTTCCATACGGATCTGCATTGCTCTTGCTCGAGATGTGGAAGCAAATTGTCGCTCCAGCGTAATCCAGGCTTCTCGTGCAGTGGTGATTCCAACCATCGTGCTGAGAACCTCCTCAGTGACTGATGAGTTGATGAGGCTGAGTACCAGCTGGTCCTGGGGGTACCAGACTGTGAACTCAGGGTTGATGATAATTTTGCGATTCCCTGTTTCTTCACTTGGTTCAACGGCGATCGTCTGGCTTGGTGCAGGCATGGATCCATCCACAAAACCAACAAGGTTTTGGCTACGCAAGTAGGGAAGGATTTGGGTAGACCACAGTAGATAATTTTCTTGTGTAAGCTTAACACTAATCACCTGACTGATCGACGGAGAAGACATTGTGTTGATTGGGATTGACATGTTTAACAGCAGAGGCTATGGATCTCGTGGATCTTATTTGAGCTCTGATACCATATCAAGTTTATGCAAAACTGTGCCTCACACTATTGAGGACATATTCTATTTATATTGGCAAAAGATTAACTAATAGATCCGATTTCATAGGAAACTAACGAAGTAAGCCTATTCTTATGGCATGACTAACTTCAAGCTATTCTAATGGATTGACCAATTCTAACAAGGAGGAGGACTCTGTTGCTTCACCAGGTATTCGGATTTTCTTCTCGCTCTTTTACTCCTTCTCCGATTGATTGTCCTCTCTGCTTCACTTCAATTTCGTAATTATGTTCGGTGAATTTCCTCTGTTTATTCTCTGTTTCTCTCTCTCTGTAATGGTTGAAGGAGTATGAATTCAACTTATCTGGACCTCTCTAGGGCTTGATTTCACACGGCTTAGTTTCAAGCTCGTTTTTGAGTTCTTTTCCTCTTACCCACTAAGACTCTTCCCCGAGCTTGCTTTGGTTGACTTTAATTGCTGAGAGGTTCACTTCGAGATTTTTCTGTTTCTTTCCCGCCTTCATTTCATTCTTCAATTTTACCGATACTGCGTCCCGGAATCTGCGCGGGTTTACGGTTATTCGAGCTTGGAAGATTTTGACTAATCGAACACGTTTTTACTGCTGGTACTGTTTTACTTCTCTCCCGGGGAGTAATTATATGTTTGTGTTTCTACGTTGAATAATAAAGTTTTTGTAGTGTGTCTTGATTTCCTTCACAGTGTTGTTCGTTTATTTGTTGATTATTAGATTATCATTTTTTTTGGGGGGGGGGTATTTCATTGTTGCATAAATTCTACACCATGAGAAGAGATTTCTTACACCTTAAGGTTTTGGCTTGAGGTTAGAATATTTAGTTTCTTCTCCGTGATGGTCGAGTTTTCTCTTGGGGATGAGTCGCCCTATCTACTAACATAGTTGTCACTTTCTCACGATGCTTTCGTACCATGCCACAACAAGTTTATGCATTATTGACATTTTTCTAATTAAATATTTACTGGTTGCTACACCCTTTGATGTTTGTGGTGCTCTGGGTTGAGTGTGGAATAGCCTTGAGCTGTGAATAACCATCCATGTTATTTTTGGAAGCGTTTCATTCTACATACAAATTTCAGATGGCAGCTCCATCCGTTGATACGTTAGATTTTTTTGTCTTTGGATACTTATGGTCTCGACTTTTGTGCTCTACAGGTGTGTTTTCCACTGATGTTCTTGAATCAACGTAGTGGTACATATCATCAAAAGTGCAGGACAAATGCCATCAATAAAAATGAAGGCCAAGTTAAGCTCGAGCTGCTTAAGAGAAAAACATGGTCTTCGTGTTTGTCAGAAATCTAGTGTCATCTCTAAAAAAGCTTGTTTTCTCCCGAGGGTTTCCGAAGAGACAGATGAATTTAATGGCTGTATTACACAATGTCTGGAGGGTAGGTAACCTTTACCTTCTTTCTATCTTTCTTTTTAACTTAGATGTTATCTTGTTTTATTTTTAAAAAATATATTGCTGATTACGTTCATAGTTTGTGGTTGTTTTCTCTAGCATATGGGAGAAATCCGTTAATCTAATTTTTTTTAAATCTATTTAAGTTCACTACCTTGGTCTGCTAATAAAATATTTAAAAATGCTCGATCACTTGGAAGTTTGAAGTTACAAAAAGAAACGGTGTAATTCACAAGCATCTTGAACAAATATCGAATAATCTCAGTCTCAATCTCCTGTCATATTTAGAATGAAGAATCGCACGCATGGAAGAATATAGCTTCTTAGGAGAAAAGGCACCGCTTTGATATTTCCTATAGTTTGATTTCGATTATGCAAAAGTAAATATGATGTTATTTTCCTTCATACTGATTTATGCTTTTTCTTTTTTGTTCAATAAAACGATAAAAATCTATTTGAGATCTTTGAAATCTTTAATTTTTTCTACGAAGTTACCATTTTGCATAATTTTCTCCTCCTCCCAAAGTTGAAAATTTCTCAGAAATCAAACTATTTTTCATCCATTACCAGACAATATCAATTGCATTGCCATGTTTTTTTTTTGTGGGTACTGATATTTGTTTCTTATGCCGTTTCTCTAAACACAGAATCTATTAATAGCAATATAAATCAGGAAGCCATTGATCACCAAGAATTCATTGATGAAGAAACTTCTGAGTTGAAGAGGCACGGAGAAGCTTTTGAGTTGAAGAGGGAAGAACCTTTTTCAGTCAATGCTGCAGATATGAATGGAATGGTATGATGTGATTTTTTTTTTTTTAAAACAGGATCAACTGCAAATACATATTTTGATAATAATGCGAAAACAATTTGTGTGGTGCATTTGTATAATATAGGAATGAAATCTGAGGGCTGTTGTCCTATATTTAGGGAAGGGCAAATGTAGTTTTAGTTTATGTTTGTGTTGGGCGGTTTTTGTTTTTTCTTTGTTAAAAAATCATCACCATCATGTTATTATTATTACTATTACAATTACAATTATTGTTGTTGTTATTATTATTATTATGACAATTTTTTTATTTGAAATTTTTACAGGATTGCACCTTAACCTACTCTTCCGAAATAGAGACAATTTTTTCTCCTATTATTGAACACGATGCAGGTACTACATAAGAAGTACAAACATTGACACGAGATATAGATGACATGATCACATGTTAATTTTTAAGAATGTAGGAGATAGGCACCACACGGACACATTATTAAAATATATATAATTTTGATTTCAATGATTGACATGCTAAAGTTTGTTTTAGCTTCTATCTAAACCAATTTATCAATTTGATCATGTCAATTTTTATGAATGTAGGAGATAGGCACCACACGGACACATTTATTAAAATATATATAATTTTTATGCATTTTGATTTCAATGATTCACATGCTAAAGTTTGTTTTAGCTTATATCTAAACCAATTTATCAATTTTCTAAATGATTTGACATCTGAGTGAAAATCAATTTTAAAGTGAATTATGTTAATACATTTTTTATTTCACTTTCGATATATTTAAGAATGTTTTGCATATGTTTGTTGTTTTAAACAAGTATACATCATGTGCTCAACAAACGTCAGGCTTGATTTAATTTAAAACAGCTTTTAACATGTGGGCACTGCATTAAATGTCTCTGACATGCAAGTATAAGAATCTTCGATACAAGTTGAACACAGGTCACCCAAACTAAAGTGCCCTTGCTACTAATATCATCTGGTCATCTTTTCAAAGGTTAAGATCTATAATTTTGTGTTAGGTCTACTTAGGACTCTATCCTCCTGTCTTCAGATGCACGTTCCCTTCAAGTATACCACTAGCAATTCTTGTTTATTGTCCCTTGAGTTCTCGTCCAGTCCAAACTTGTGTAGGATCTAGCTGATATTATTTTCTCATGGTTCTCAGAAACTTCTAATATTTAAATGGCATCTGTATTAGAGGAGTTGAAAGTTGGTTTGCAACTTAAAGAAAGGTTTTATCAACCATTCTGCTGTGCTTGTGACCTTGAAGTTCATGTTTTCATTTAATTGTCGAACTTCGGCTTTGACATATGTCCTTGCAATTGTATATTTAGGAAATACTTGGAAGATGGAAAAATTAATTACCTCCTGACACAGACTATAATCCTCATGATAGTTCTTATCTGTTCATCTGCTTATGTGTTATGCAGGGAGAAAACTTGATCCTGATATACCAGGAACGGAAACTGATGAAGGGAAAAATATCAGAAGCTCACATGACAATCAGACATGTGATGTATCAGATTTTTTTATTTCTGACATGATAGTTGCAAACTTACCCTTAAGTGGTAATGATGACCTCTGCAACATCAATTATTTTCATGACTACAAATATACTCAGTCAACTATATTGTCTGATGTTGCTGATCAGTATATGATGCTTCCTTTCCTTGAGGACACCGTGAAAGTCAGCAATTCAGATGATGCTGACTGTTCTGATGAATTAACCATTGGTTTTGGTAATTCTGGTTTGCACCGAGTAATTGATCAAAGAAATAATTTCAGTCTTGAATTCTATGTTAGCACAGACTCAGATCAGACAGAGTGTTTTGATCCCCAGTTGTTCATAAAAAATTTACCAGAACTTTCAGAAGTGATATCAAACTTTCAGCCCAGTATATTGCCCAATGAAGATCAGAAAAGAAAGGCCGTGACCCTTGTACTTGATTTGGATGGTAAGAGATTTATATTCGATATTTGTCTTTTTGAGGATTAGGAGATGTATAAATACCTGCACTGGTACGAGTGTTGAATGATTGGAATTTCTTTTCATATCTCTCTTTTTTTTTTTTCTTTTTTTCTTTTTTTTTTTACTTTGGGTTGTAGATTGAAAGGTTACAGGCTATGAAATTTTGAAGTAGCTGATCGGTTGTTCTCTCTTTTTCAAACTGTAGACTTTAGAATGCACACTTCCTTGGGAGTTTAAATGTGAGAGATTTTTATTAGATGAATGCTGTCATAAAAAGACATGAGTACATTTTTTCTGTCAAAATTTGACGATTGCCAATTCAGGAATTTGAGACACTTGTTCTTTCTATCTCTCCGTAATATTTTTCCCTTCTTCTTATCTCTATACTGTGCTTGCAATCTATGGATAGTCCTTCCCCCACCAAATATAATGGCCTCAACCGACTAACAACCCTTTATGACTCAACTAGTAGTTGACAGCTAACTGACTACTATCTCAGCTTCCTATTAATTTCGGCCTTGCAGGAGTGAATTGTATAGGTGGACGACTTTGTTAATCAGATTATTAGCTAGCATTTAACATATCTAAATCAATATGAACTTGAGATTTCTTTCAAGTGGAGCCATTTAATAGTTTGTTTGAGTTTTGCTCAGATTTCCAATATGTTTTGTGGTGACTAGTTCCCTTTAAATCTTTATTTTATCTGCTATCTGGAATGTAATGTAGTTGTCTTGTATATTTGCAGAAACCCTAGTTCACTCTACTTTGGAACCGCAGGATGATGCAGACTTCTGCTTTACTGTTTGCTTAAACATGAAAGAGCACATTGTATATGTTAAGCAGAGGCCATATCTTCAAATATTTCTGGATCGTGTTGCAGAGATGTTTGAAGTTGTTATCTTTACAGCCAGTCAAAGTATTTATGCAGAACAAGTCCTCAACAAACTGGACCCGGATAATTGTATTATCTCACGTCGACTTTATCGTGAATCATGCATTTTTTTAGAAGGATGTTACACCAAGGATTTGACAGTTTTAGGCATCGATCTAGCAAAAGTTGTCATTGTAGATAATTATCCACAGGTACAGCCCTTGGCCTAGTTTTTTATGAACTTCCATTTAGTTGGACCCTGCATTCTTTCTCTCTCTTTTCTCATGGTCTACATTTTTTAGCTATATAAAGAACATATACTATGAGGTTAGGTAGTAGATTAATATGCTTATGTTAATGTGACTTTCAAATGGTGGAATGGAGAGATGGGTTAGGTTAAACAACAGCTATTTCTATTATATCGTTGAAGATTCTTATTGTTACTTTTGAGTTCAACATGTGGAGTGAAGATTCAAACATTTTTTCTTTTTGTCAAATATTTCTATCTTGAGCATGAGCAAAAGATTGATGTCATGTTTTTGGGAATTTGTAGTTATAATGTTTATTTGGAGATAATACTTAAAAAGAAGGGATGAGTAGCATTCTTCATAAGTCATAAGTCATATCTTCATATTAGCTTTCATTTTAACCAGAAGCATCTATCGTTACTTAGATTGGATGATGGCTCAAGAAAAAATCCTTTATTTTCTCCTGTTAGTCGGTTTGCAAAAAACTGTGATCTAGTGT